CGGTACTGACAGATCAGTACTGTATTAAAATAAATAAAAGTAAAACTACAATACAGGTATGCAAGGGAAGAAAAAGTAGGGAAAGAGCGAATATAAAGATAGGAGACGAAAAATTAGAAGAAGTGGCTGATTTTAGATACCTAGGAAGTCAGATAAGTCAGGATGGAAGGAGCAGTAGGGATATAAAGCAGAGGATAGCGCCCTTCTATGCTCGCGAACCGTTAATTCGGAAAAGGTTGTTAAAGGTGTATGTTTGGAGCACGGCGTTGTACGGGTGCGAAACATGGACAGTGGGCGCGGCGGAAAAGAAAAGGTTAGAAGCCTTCGAAATGTGGTGTTATAGGCGGATGATGAGAATATCGTGGGTAGAAAAGGTTAGAAATGAAGAGGTATTAGAAAGATAGGAAAACAGAGGATTCTATGGAAAACAATAAAAAATATGCGAGATAGGTTGGTAGGACACCTTCTTAGGCATGAAGGTCTAGTCAGAGACATATTGGAGGCAGAAACAGGAGTTAGGAGGGGTAGAGGTAAACCTAGATTAGATTACTCTTCGCTAGTTTTAGGGAAATGCGAAGTTTGGCTCAGGATAGGAAAGAGTGGAAGTACGTGTCTAACCAGTCTTAGGACTGATGACCTTATGATGATGATGATGAACACAATACGGTACAACAATCTTTTGGTTCTCCCGAACTCGTTTACGTGAACTGTTCTGCATCTGTAATTTCGAAACAAGAAAGGTTTTCGTGTAGTTTACTATCTACAGAGCAAATTAAGTGGTTCATCAAACAGAAACTGTTAATTGGAGATTCGGCATCAAACAGGCAGCGGTGTGTTGCACGGATGCGAGCAGGTACACACCACCCAACGCACAGGTCCATTCAATTCGATTGAAATACTCACTTAGGTTCATGACGAATTGCAGATACATCTAGATATATACCTACCTGCTTTTCTACATATGTTCGTATGCATGTGGAAATCTGTATGGTATCTGCATAAATCCTTTACATTTTCCAACCAACTAACTGAATTGCTTTTAACTAAATTGCCTCGTTTAAATGAGATAAATTTTATCGTTCATTGTAAGTAAGTAAATGTGCAGCATTCAGCTTTTATAATCGGGTTACTAACGTGAAAAATCTTCCATAGAAATTATTATTGTAACATTAACATATAAGTAAGTATAATATGTGATAAGAAACGTTCCAATATTTGAGGTAATCAATTATTCAGAAAACTGTCCAATCAATTCATAAAATGACATCTTATGCGGGACTATTAAGAACTGCCCGATATTTGAGGTAATCCATTATTTCGAAAATTGACCAAGCAATTTATGAAATGGCATCTCATGCGGGACTATTAAGAACTGCCCGGCCAGTTCATGAATTACCTCCGGTTCAATCATAGAGCTTACGCTACTGTATATGATTACGTTTTCTATTTTATAATTATTTCAAAAATTTGAATGTACTTCGTAAATTGCTTATGCCAGTTATGAGTTGCCTGAACAATTTATATAATCCATAAAATGATTAGCCTTATCTAAAGAAACACCTCAAAAACCGACTACGCAATTCGTGAAGTGACAACTTACGACGAATAGTAACGAGTAACTAAGTTTTTCATTTATCAATTTATCTCATCTAGCTTTTTGACCTGAGTCCTTACTTGTCTCAACGCATAGGTATGGATCATTAATTTATTTTTAAATAAACAGTGGATTGCTAGATGCACTACTTACCTGACTTCATTTCAATTTCCAGAGGTAACGCATTTCTGCATAAGTTGTAGCGTGTTTTTTTATTTTCATACAGTACACTAACGTTGACTAAGTACTTGAGCGATTTGTATATAATAATGCATAATGCTTTACTATTGCAAGGATTTTGAATTTGTCAACGGTTGCTGAAAGAGCTCTGGTAATGAAAAAAATTATATTTTTCACAGAACTTGAATTTTATAACTCGCATTTCTTAAAGCAAGAAAATTCTCGTAGATCTCAAGTTGCTTCTATAAAATGCATTAGATTTACAAGGATTTTTCTTGATTATGTTGAAATGTATTTTTCAAAGTTCGTAAATTAAAGACTGGAATACATGGTGTTTACTTTAAACAAAATTTATTGGTTAAGAATTACAACATGTAAGATTTAAAAACATAAAATCCTGATTTACAGGTTAATAATAATATTGTATACTTATTAGGCTGGATAAAATGTACAAAGTTATAAAATGAATGAAATGGTAAAAATGGACGGTTTATAACATTTTGATAATAATCAACAATGGTAAATAAAGTAGTGGGTGCTAACCTAACTCTAAAACTTAAATAATATTTCGACAACAGTTATGACGATTAATTATTTATTATAAGTACAAATAGATTAAACAATTCTTACAGTAACGTAAACATATATATTATAATATATTATTTGTGTGGCAATATTTATATCGTATATACAAAAGTCAGAAAAAGGATGAAAATTGAACCTGTGATAGTTTAGCAGAAGTGATGAATTCGAAGATCCTAACGTTATTACGGGCTTTCCATGCAACGATGCGCTCTAAGGAATATCACAGTCGAAAATGACAACGCCCTATTTATAAATCTATTTTTCTTACTACAGAAAAGAAGAAAAATGGCAGGACATTTCCAGTACTGGGTTATTGCACCTTCCCAACCACCAAAAGTTATCTATATTTACATATCGCTCGTGTAAGTACCTGTATTTTGCTAACACAGTTGCTAGAGGTAATTCAGAATCTCATGGGTTATGACATTGTCCGCTATTGTTTCCAGTTTATCTGAAACTGCATTTTCGTAATTGTATGTGTAAGAACACGGTTAACAGACGAGTCAATGTTTTTGAAATGTACAATATGAGGTTCTGCCTCTCGGCCCATGACATCTTAAAGTACCTCAACCAAAAATTATAGACTTTTTCAAAAGTGATAAAATCTACAATTGTTATTATATTTTTTCTTCAAAATTTAGTTTGTAAAATAGAATACGTAAAATAATTAACTGTGACAGGCAGACAGAGAGACGTATCCGAATAACATAAGTATCCGTAGATAATAAAGAATTTGGAAGAACAATTTTATACACATTTTACACGAGTCTATTATAGTTATGCTAAATTGTTTATTAAATACATATCATAAATTATTTCGAAGCAATCAAGCAAAGCAACTATACAATGTACAAAATGCAGTTATCTAAATCTATTTAGAAATACTAGTAAACGCATAAAATCTGTGTGAAAAAGGCAATAAATGAACTAAAAAGATCGAAAATATTTGTTAAAGGCTATATTTAAGAGAAGATAATGGTAACCCATTCCATCATAACAAATAGTAATTAATTACGGTAAAGTTTGGCGTTTGTTTCCAAATTATTAACTAAAGAATCCTTTGATCGAATACATGCAGATATTAAATAATTACGGCTTTTTTTATCATTCTTGAACAGGATTATAAATGTTACATTGCATTTTGGGCAATGTGATCAAAATGTGTAACCAAGTGATTACTCACATTGTTCATAATGACCGCGCAATGTAATAAATTAGCATTTACGAAATGTGACCTTTAAAATTAGTGTTAAACCTACTTCGGTTATTCTACATAATGCCCCAGCATTTATATACATTATCCGAAATTGCCCAAATTAACCACATTTACAAAAAAAAGGAATAATAATCCAGGCAGATACGTTACAAGCCAAATAAATATAATTGGGTTACCCAATTAAATATTCAAATATGGTAATGATTAATAACTAAATAACCCATAAATTAAACATCTTTACTAAATGTATGTATCCATAGCCTTCTTCCATAACGATGAATATTAATTATTTTTAACAAATGGACTAGATAATATCGATAACGTTTGATTAGATAATACAATTTGCTCTATTGTTCATTTCACTCCAAAGCTAACGAAGACCTATCGGTGCTTCTGTTCTTCCTCACTTTAATTGTTGCGAACACTTCCGTCCTAAAACGCCAAAGGCTCTTAAGTTACGTCACCAGGCCAAATAAACAAACAAACAAGCAAGCAAACAGACGACTACACAACAAAACATGGACAACAATTAAAGAAACAGGGACTGAATGACGTAGAACAATACATGCGGAGGAGTATGTGGATGACGTGCAAGTTTATTTCATGTGAATGTTCTCGTTTCTGGCTGATGCGTCTAAGCCCCAAAGGTCATACCATGGACCATACAAGTTTCCCGTGTGGGGTGATTTTTCGTCATATCTTGAACTACGATCGGGAGATTTTAATCGTCTTTGTAAGGATTCGCCGTAGCTCACGAGGCTCTCATCGTCGTTACGTTTGTTGGAAGCGTTACTGTTGGTTTTGGAAAGTTTTGACCGTGGAAAGTACTGTCCAGATTCAGAATATTGACGTGAAGGACTCTCGTGGTGATCCCTATCAGTGAAATCGCCGGAAGTTTCGTTTTCTGAATCGCTACGGTATCGTCTCGTTTCTTCTTCGTCGACTTCTGAATTGATACTTTCGTAGCTAGACCTCATTCGATTCTCATCATTAACGTGATGGTACTGTTTCTGGTGATGGTTGCTGTAGTATTTTCGTCGCTCTTCTTGAGGTTCATTCTCTTCCTCGGTGCTCCGGTGTCTTCTGTCTATAGTACGATTCGCTTCTTTAACTACTCCATTTTGTTGTTCCCGTCCAAAAGTTTTGAAAGAATGCCTTTCATTTCTTCCATATCTATCGCTGTTGGACTTTTCCAGTTTGTTGTTTCTGTTACGTAATTCCACGTCGCTCATTATATTTCGTTCACTCTCGTCAATCGGTTTGTTATTGGATATCCCGTTGTTTCCCGGTGGATACTTGGATGATTTCGAAAGCTTTTCTAATTTCTTGCCGATGGCTGCTACGTTAGTCATCTTTTCTTTGTTTTTTCTCACTTTTTTCATCTGATCGTCGACGACGATGCAGTCGTAAGGGTCGCTTGTCTCTTCTGATTCGCTTCCCGATTCTGAACCGATAGAATCGCTGTATTGTTGTAGAATGTTCTTTCTGTTAACTGTTCTCAACAGAAGGCCATCGCCATCATCGTAAAATTCTCCGTTTGTTTGTGGATTTCCCTTCTTGTCGTAGCGGTTTTCGCGGTCTGTGGACTTTTTGGGGTTATGGGTTAAGTTTTGATTGAAGCTCCGTTTACGTCTTCGAGGTTCAGGTTTCCGCCCTTGATCAGGTTTGTTCCTCTCTGTGGGTTCCTCGTTTTCTTCGTTTGCTTGCATTGTTCGTTCAGAATCATTGGATCTGTCACGGCTCATTTTGCGAACTGACCTTTCTGAATCTTTCCGTTTCTCTGACGAATTTCTCTTGGCTTTTGGTACTGGAGGTTTGTCCTCCACTTCAACTAAATCTTTGTGTTTCCACATCGACATTCCCTCTAAAACTTCGTTTTCGTTTCCTTTACCAAATTTCCAAAATGACTTGGTCCTTTTAACAAAACCTTTTTTCTCACTGTCAGATTTCAACAACGACAGTTGGTCATCAGAAAGGGAATATCGGGTCTGTACCAGATTTCCTGCGCTATTAGAAGGCCTGATAAGATTTGGTTTTCTGATGGGTTTATGGCTTCTATCATTGTTTGAACGAGATTTCGGCTTTCTAAATAACGAAAATAAAACAAGCTCTACTTAAAGTAAACATGCCACAACGACTAACAACAGTTATTTTTAACAACACTTACCTGGACGTGGACAGTTTCGTTTGACCATGGAGCGACTCGTCGTCGGAATAGTCAACTTCGGGTTGTGGAGGTGGATCATTGCTAAAACCCGAATCATTGCTACTATGAAGGGAGACGTTGCCAACTGGTGCGGCACTCTTGTTGGTTTTCCCTTGGAGATGTAACGGCAGTGATGATATACCTGTTGGTTTGTCTAATCTCGTATTGATAGGGTGCATGGGGTACGTGGAAGGGTGCGAACTGGCAAAGTTGAAATTGGATGTAGATGTTTTCATTCCCGTTTGGGAATATCCCGTGTCGGGATTCGTTCTCGAACTAAACGTTGTGCTGTGCGACTGAACGAGCGACGTTTTGTCGTAGGGAAGGGACGGGGTCGGTATTGGTGCCGGAAGTGCTGGGGGTGGAATGTTATTAGAAGCGATCGCACGACGAATCTGAAAGAAATCGTTTTCGTAAATATTTTTGAATACTTCTTTACGTATATATGTATATAAGTAAATATATTTTTTGGTCTTCTTGATACTCTTTTATACTCAATTAAATTACGATAGAACTGGTTACAGCGTTTGAGAAAAATCGGCGCCTTTATGCTCCGTCTTGCCATTTATTACAGAAAGCAAGGTACAGAGCGAACCAAATTGAAGTGCTTTTAACAATATAGAAGCGACAAGGTACATGTTTCTGACATACTCTTAAACGAAATAATATTGTTGAAAGGATGTGTAGGTACGTTGGTATGAACTTTTACTTGGGAAATGTGAAAGTTATTAGGTAGGATGTCTATCGAGGTGAACTGAAGTCACCTTTACTGTATGGTCACCGAACATATAAGTGTAAGGAATATAAGTTTTCGACAGAATCTTAACTCTAAAGTTGCTTCTTGAAGGTAGTACTCTAGATTTTATACTTTACGAGTATTAGTTATACGATGAAGTTTTACCATTTTAACTGGCAAGTTGACAAAACATTCGAATAATTACGAAACCAGCCGAAAAGTCTTGAATGGTTCACGAAACTGCAAGACAATCTTTGAAAGATTAGGGTATGATCGATTTTATTCGGCGGCGTTTTCATGTGGTGATCATCATCATCCTCATAAGATCGCCAGTTCTAGGACTGGTTGGACAAGTACCTCTTTCCTATCCTGAGCTAAACTTCGCATTTCCTTAAAACTAGAACAACCCACATCCTTAAGTATTTGTGAACATAATCTAGATCTACCTCTACCCTTCCTAACTCCTATTTCTGCCTTTTATATGCCTCTAACTAGACCTTCATGCATGAGAAGGTGTCCTACCAACCTATCTCGCCTATTTCTTATTGAATTCCATTGAGTCCTCTGTCCTCCTATTCTTTCTAATATCTGTTCATTTCTAACCTTTTCTTTTCCGCCGCGCCCACTGTCCATGTTTCGCACTCGTACAACGCCGCGCTCTAAACATGTGGCGATACCTATATTTAATTGTAATTAAATACAATACCAAAATTATCGACTTCTTTTACAAATTCACATTTAAATTAATATTATTAAATTGATAAAGGATTTTTGATAAACATATTCTGCAGAAATCAGTCTATAAGAATACCATCTTTGAACTGAAGTATAATTGCGAACTGTATAATTTTCTTGTTTGACCTTTCTTATGAATTCAAAATAATTCTTTTTCTTGCAGAGTTTTCAGATGTACCTATAACACATCAATCAAGAAATGGACCAGCAGCTAAAGTGGACACACGTCTGTAGATTCACCCAAATCATAAATGTAAGTGCTAGGAGTTTAATTTAATTTTTAATGTAATTTTTAATGTAAATGTTAATGTCCTAAACAGTAGCGAGCACAAACTAAGTCGATAAAAATGTTTGAATGCTCAAGATGTTTTAATGATTTATAAAAGATTATTTTCTCTAATTCTTTTTAATTCATATTTGCAATTGGGAAAATATTATTTCTAAAAGCACGTAGAACCCTTTGTGCCTAGAAAATAGTGAGTCAAGTACTGACTGTCACGGGAATGTAATAAAAGGTAATAAAAGCATCTAGCAGCTACCTGTTTAGCATTAGCAGATGATCTGTGGATATGCAACGTATCGCCAAACATACGGGGTGTTGAGCTTTCTAACGTGTTGTTACCGGTGTGTTGTCCTGACGTTGGGTACTGCGTGTTTGGTGTTTGAGCCGTTGAAGACGTATTATGTCCGGAATGGGATTCGTTCACCTCATATCTGTGCTTTGGAGATCTGAAAAGTAGAATTACAACCTGCACATTTGACAAGAAAAGACCTTAAAATAATTTTAAATGTTCAAATAAGTAGTCCAATTTCGCCTAATCGGAAATTAATAAAATCGATTACTTTCTTGCAATCGATAACCGATTGTTATTGAACACTAAAAGTAATTTCTGTTTAACTGCTAAGAAGAATAAATGTATTCCTCGTTGGAATGGTTATGGTCAGGCTTTAAGGTCCTCTGTCAATTTAGTCGTATTTATTATTAATAAAATCATTCGAAGTGGTCTGTATTCTGTCGAAACTGCCAGACGCGGATCGCGATTTCGATCTTTTTGGATCTCATCAGCGCGTCGCAGGCAGCTCCGACAGAACACAGATCAACTTTTACCTGCTGTCTTAACAGCGCGTTTTAAAAAATACCACAAATGGCGCGGTGAACGCCATCTGTAGTATGATGCTACATCTTAGGATTACGTATGGTCCACCAAGGACCATTTAATTCGATGAATTCGATTATGGTAACGTGCCTATCACGTTGAGGTTAGCTACGCCGAGATTCGTTTCAGCAAGTAAATATCCTCATATATTTAAATGGACCTTCTTGGAACATACGTAATCCTAGAATGTATCATCGTACTAAAGATGGCGTTTACCGCGCCATTCGTGGTATTTTTTATTATTAATAGATTTAGAAGTTTAATTTTAAACAAAACTCAATTGTCAAAACATTTGAATAGACTTAATAATGCCTTTTCGGTTTAGTCTTACATAATGGAATCGTCCAGTAATTCGGTATAGGCCATAGGGAACCAGCCGCTACATTGCGTCCTTAGGTTTTCGCCAAACTGCCATCCCTTAGTTCTTTCCCCGATCAACGCGATGATGTCGCCTTCGAGGAAGCTCAATTGATTTTCTCCACTTGATAGATATGCGTACATTGCCCTGGCTAAGTGCGTTTCCCACTGGGGAGCAGACGATGGATTTGGAACAGCTACCGATCTTGGTCGACGAGATGGACTGTTGCTCCCTGCAAAAGAAAAATTCCTTTCGACTAAACCGTTCGAGGAATCATTTGACATTTTAGAAATATATTTAGTTAATGCATATAGGTACGTTTGAGAAATTGCCCATTGGTTTCAGGATGTTGATTTTGCACTTCCGAAAGAAAGATGTAACCTTTCACAAATCACCCTTTCATACTACTTTTTGAAAGTTATGAAACGGATTAATTTAAAACCTGGGTCGTCATATTTTTCAATAATTTATTTTTAGCAGTTTAATATAAACATTTATAGAAACATTTCCCACAACATATTAATCGAAAAGAGTTCTTAAAGTCGCGAAAGATGTATGACATGCGAATTTGCATCGCATCAACAGTAATTCAAAAAATTCAAAATTCCGTTCCGCGTGAAGCAAATCCTCTAAACAAGACTTGCACTCGCTGCAAATGATAAGGATGCGCACACTGTTCCTATAAATTTTCCACACTGAGAGGAGCTACAGTTCTCTGCAGATAGATGTCCTCATGTAAGGTTTAAACGTTAAAAGAATAAACGGTTAATAAAAGTTGGTTGCTAGCATAAGCACCCTGGACCACATTTAGTCTAATCTAACAATAAAAAATACAAAACAAATACTACAGTGACGCTAGTAATCACCAGGTCATTGAGTGCAACGTTGCGGGCTGTATTCCTTTACCAGGGTCGGAATTCAACTTAGGTACTTGTATTTTCAACTACGTTTTTCTCGAAAACAGTGAACAGCGGACATACAAAATTTACTTAATTTTCATGTTTTATGTTAATTTCTGTTACACCCTGTATAATAAAGCGACAGGTGAATAAAATAAGTATCTAATTGGTTTTTTCTTCTTCTTAATCAGTATTTTTATAAGGCGATGAAACTTTTTTTCTTATGAATGTTGATTTTACTGCTTCTTACCTTGTGCAGAGTGTGTTGACGAATTTATGTTGTGATCTGACTTAGCCCTGTTGAGTGTTGTAACAGGTGACGCCGCTTCTTCTATCGATCTTATATCGAGGCAAGATGCGTCCATACTTTTTGTTTTTCTAAGTTGTGAGTTGATGCTAATTCTGTCCTCTTCCAGATTAGGACTGCGAGGATTCGAATATAAATCTTCGTCTTGCCAAATTGAAACTTGCTGCGAATCGAATTTTTACAATTTAAATTATGAAAAGATATGTGACATATGGCAAGTTGTTTGCCTGATCCGACAAGTTTGAAATGAAAATATGTGCGCGTAGATATGCAAAATAGAAGAATAAATCAATTTCCACTTTGTTTGTGCTTGTTTTTTACGTTGTTTTTGTACTTATACAAAAAAAACTAAGCCCTCTAAGCCACCCTGTGGTGTACTCGTATATTCCTCTCAAGAAAGGAATATGATATTGACAGAGCTTAATATTCCGGAAATTTTCATCGCTTTTTTCAATCTCCGACTAACCTTTATTTTGTTGGTAAAAATGTTTTCCACGGGTTCCGGAAGGTATTCTCTTGTTTTGGCGACTTCCTGCCATTTTTCCAAGTTCTGTTGATAGACCGCCACACCGTGGGAGTAATACGACAGATAATGTTTGGCGAGGGAACATTGCCTTTCCAAAACAAACCCGTATCTCCTCCGTTCCTGTGTCATGGCCTGGAAAATTTATGTCCCTTTTTATTTGAAAACAGCTCAGAAACACATACACAACTTACGCTCTTTAAGCTCTGCTCGCAGAACGCGTCCAGCTTTGTCTTTTCCTCCTCTAACACTTGCATGTTCTGTAATAAGGAGAGGGAAATGTCATTTAAAGGACAATAATGTGGAACGTACAATTTTAGGGACTTCACAGAATAACAATGAGACAATAATTTATACAGTCGAAAAGCACTTTGGCTTCGTAATGCTATAAAATTCGTGACGTTCAAGTTCGATTTCTTAGGTAGACCTAGGTATGCGGGTCAAATTAGGAAGGCAAGGTGCACAGGAAATTATTGTTGTTAGCTTTTGTTCAATTATTTATTCGTATCAGTTTATTCTCAGACTTATAAAGTATTTGAAATGAGCTATTTAATACTGAGGATAATATAAAATTAAATAAACCAACATGTTTATTGTACAGGCGTACCACAGCTAGGGAAATTCCCTATACTTGGGTAATTTAGTACCATCAAATATTGCAAAAAATGTAAACGTAAATATTGAAAAATTTTGGGAATCCTAGTGTACATATGTGTATCAGTTTATCAGAGAAATCTAATTTCAGCAAAAATCTAGATAATAAAAATTCATCTGGCAACCCTGTTATTGCAGTCTTCGCCACTTCTTACTGAGCTGACTATAGTGTACAATAATAAATAAAACAAGCAATTTTGGGGTGATGGTTTTTAATTACAAGATATAATCCACCACCAACGTTTCGCCTTAAGGTGATAAAGCCTCTTCAGGTTAAGATTATAAAGTTAAAATATCATTTCTTGTAGATTAAAATTAAATTAAATTAGATTAATAAAAAAAAGGAAACATAACCCTGCAATTGCTTGTTTTTCATTTAACTCTTCAACAAATTACTGTTCAAACTAATGAAAATTTTAATGGTGANGTACATGTCGATATTTTGATATTATCAGGAAAGAATACCGCAGGTAATCGATATCGGCGTCACCTTTCATGTACCAGAGGGCAAGAAGCAGCGCGTAATAAATCACGTAGCCGCGGTACTAGAAAGAAGTTACGAGAAGTTTCCGGAAATAGAAATATTGCACAGAAAAGTATAAGTATCTGACAGGATGTTGTCGAAGCAAGACAGCTGACATAAATAGTACATGTCGATATTTTGATATTATCAGGAAAGAATACCGCAGGTAATCGATATCGGCGTCACCTTTCATGTACCAGAGGGCAAGAAGCAGCGCGTAATAAATCACGTAGCCGCGGTACTAGAAAGAAGTTACGAGAAGTTTCCGGAAATAGAAATATTGCACAGAAAAGTATAAGTATCTGACAGGATGTTGTCGAAGCAAGACAGCTGACATAAATAGTACATGTCGATATTTTGATATTATCAGGAAAGAATACCGCAGGTAATCGATATCGGCGTCACCTTTCATGTACCAGAGGGCAAGAAGCAGCGCGTAATAAATCACGTAGCCGCGGTACTAGAAAGAAGTTACGAGAAGTTTCCGGAAATAGAAATATTGCACAGAAAAGTATAAGTATCTGACAGGATGTTGTCGAAGCAAGACAGCTGACATAAATAGTACATGTCGATATTTTGATATTATCAGGAAAGAATACCGCAGGTAATCGATATCGGCGTCACCTTTCATGTACCAGAGGGCAAGAAGCAGCGCGTAATAAATCACGTAGCCGCGGTACTAGAAAGAAGTTACGAGAAGTTTCCGGAAATAGAAATATTGCACAGAAAAGTATAAGTATCTGACAGGATGTTGTCGAAGCAAGACAGCTGACATAAATAGTACATGTCGATATTTTGATATTATCAGGAAAGAATACCACAGGTAATCGATATCGGCGTCACCTTTTATGTACCCGCGAGCAAGAAGCAGCGCGCAATAAATCATACTGCCCCGGTACTGGAAGGAACTTACGAGAAGTTTCCGGAAACATTGTATTGAAAATTATAAGTATTTGACAGGATGTTGTCGAAGCAAGACAGCTGATATAAATAGTACGCGATCGTGAAATTTAAATAGTAAGATAAGAATCTATTCAGTGAAATAAATAACCTTTTGTAATATACCATATATCGAAACTTCTTTAAATAAATTGACATCATAAGAAAATTCGTTGTCACAGACAGTTGATTTCTATTTTAGTCAGCGATAGTTTAGAAGAATATTCAAATGCGTTAAAGTGCCTGTGATTTCTGTAAAAACGTGACTATTGCTTTCTATTTTACGAAGATAAAACGAAAGTTAAAAATATGGCAGAGGATATGTGTCATCTACATCTACTGTGAGAAATCATTTTAGTTGTTATCGAGTATTCTTAGAATTCTTGAAATTGTTAAGTTTATTCAAAAAACTTTTGTTTTATTTGTATTCCATGTCAGGAAAGACGTTTTATTGAAGTGAGTTAAGAAGCAAGACAACACACAGGCTGTATTACTTAAAACGGTCGTGTAAATATGATCGATTTTGGCTACGTGAGCCGACATCGAATTACGGATTATTCCAGTTTTAACGTTTCCTTCCTTCCGACATAGTTCCTTTTAGCCATGCATTCGTCTTCGTGCCAGAACGAGATGTATTGTTGAAATTAGTTCCCAGAGAACAATGGACATAACGTTGATAGGAGACCCCGGTTATAACCTGTGACTAAGTGCCTTTATGATTACAGAAGTGATTTTACTTCCTCGTACTTCCCGTCACATATTACTAATTTCAACTAATACTAATTCCCAAGTAACTGATGTGAGAATTTATTAATCGCTTTCCCTTAGTCAATTGTCTTTACTCATTTTCTTTATTTGTTTGTTTATTACAATTTCACGCTTTAACTACTCTATCGATCATTATGACATTTTGTACACACATTGCCAAGACTATAGCAAAGGACATAGGGTACTTTTATTCAGAAAATAATATTGTTCCCGAAGGATAGAAAAATTAGTTTTATGTGATCGGTGAAGATCTTTGACGCGTATATAAGACATCAAAGCGAGCGAAGCCGTGGGTAAATATAATTTAATTAAATTGCTGTTTTATACACAACAACAGTGCGATAATTAAGTTTAACAGTCGATTATTAATTGTAAAAAGAAATAATCGATTATTGCGATTAACGGTATTTATCGATTATTTGGATTTATTAATCGGAAGGATCAATTAATCCAAATAATCAATTATTGTGCTTGATCTTTTATTTTTAAAAATTGAAAATAGTCGATTAATCAAATCGATTAATCGGACCAATGTGGTTAAATATATCGAAATGTAATCTTTTGAAGATACTAAATTTAAAATACAAGAACACAATTTTGTTATCTTTTGGAAATATTGTGTTAGGTACAAAAAACTAGCAACTGAATTTGGTTTCATTACTTACAATGTTCATTTGTTGGTCTTGAATTTCTTTATAAACTTCGACAACTTTTATTAATGCTGAACCTGAAACAAAAAATGTTATTTATTGCACAAGTAGGAGCCTTGAAATATCCAAGAAATTATGAAACAAAGGTAAAAAGCGCAAACGTAATTTTAATCCGTTGTTAAATATTTGAACAATTTCACGAATCACTGTCATTGGCGTAATTAGANGTGTAACATAAGTAAGTCATTATGATGACTTTTAACTCCAATTAAGTACCAAGAACCATCTGTCAAGTTTTGAACGATAAGCTCACATATAATTAAACAAACTGTCCAGAATTGGGTTTAATTAATTGTTATTTGTGTTGTATCGTCGATGCGGTTGTAGGGCACTACCTTTGAATCGCTGCAAATTTGAAATCTGCCATTACGTTTGAATGTGCGACGGCCCTTGTTTGGCCTAATGAAAGTGGATTCAATATCTTTGTTTACGCAAACAATGCGAGGGTGAACGAACATCTACGGTATCTAAGTCTCGAGAGGACGATTGGATCACAATCCTCCAAATACGCGATCACATTAATTAAATGAAAGACAATCGACAACAACCACACAATGCATACTTTAACTCCGAACATGTATGTAACGGATGCAAAACTTGAATCAATTTAGGTCAATTTATACACACGTAAGCTACATGTCCATATGTACAACTTGATTCAATACCTACTAGTTAAACCCATATAATCAGTAAAGCCCAATTTATCGAAATAGTCATCCACACTGCATTGTGGCTCTTCAAATGTACCCACAATGCAAGCTTAAGGCGATTACAAAGTTGAACTGGTCGAAAAAGTCATGCACACTGTACTGTGGCTCCTCAAATGCAACCACAATGCAAACTAGAGGAGACTACAAAGTTGAACTGATTTAAAAAGTCATCCACACTGAATTGTGACTCTTCAAATGTATCCACAACGCAAACTAAAGAAGATTACAAAGTGAACTAATTGAAAAAGTCATCCACACTGCATTGTGACTCTTGAAATGCACCCACAATACAAGCTAGTGGAGACTATAAAGTTGAATTGAACTAAAAAGTCAACCACACTGTATTGTGGCTCTTCAAATGTACCCACAATGCAAACTAGAGGAGACTACAAAGTTGAACTGATCTAAAAAGTCATCCACACTGGATTGTGACTCTTGAAATGCACCCACAATGCAAGCTAGAGGAGACTACAAAATTGAACTAAGCGAAAAAGTCATCCTCACTACATTGTGGCCCTTGAAATGCACCCACAATACAAGCTAGTGGAGACTATAAAGTTGAATTGAACTAAAAAGTCAACCACACAATCTATTGTGCCTCTTCAAATTTACCCACAACGCAAGCTAAATGAGATTACAAAGTGAACTAATCGAAAAAGTCATCCACACTACATTGTGGCCCTTGAAATGCACCCGCAATGCAAGTTAGTAGAGACTACAAAGTTAAACTGATTTAAGAAGTCATCCACACTGTATTGTGGCTCTTCAAATGTATCTACAACGCAAGCTAAAAGAGATTACAAAGTGAACTAATCGAAAAAGTTATCCACACTGCATTGTGACTGTTGAAATGCACCCACAATGCAAGCTAGAGGAGACTATAAAGTTGAACTGATCTAAAAAGTCATCCACAGTGTATTGTGGCTCTTCAAATGTACTCACAACGCAGTTAATTCGTTCAATATAAAATGTTGTGTTGGCGTTTCAGTAATTTTAATGTAATTGTTGTTTAAATTCGCAATAGAACGAGACAAATTCGTTTAGGGACGTCACAATGTAATAGTCCCAAATAGCATTNTACTCGTTGCGAGAAGACCGTTATCTCTCGATAATTAGTATAAATACCATCACCAGCAGCATTGGTTCAGTGTCCTCTTACGACAGCGTTATCAACAACGCAGTTAATTCGTTCAATATAAAATGTTGTGTTGGCGTTTCAGTAATTTTAATGTAATTGTTGTTTAAATTCGCAATAGAACGAGACAAATTCGTTTAGGGACGTCACAATGTAATAGTCCCAAATAGCATTTGAACCACGTCTGCGTGTTACTAATGACCGTCTTGTGTTTAGTGTTAATTGGAGATTTACAACCACACAAACAAACGCCTTGGAACTAATTGTCCCTGCCATGGTAAGGGTGAGACCTCCGACCAGACATCATTCTCTTCCTGGGTTATTGCTCTAAATATTAAAGGGATGAACAGGGAAGGAGTAGGTATGCCATTATGTATATGGAATTGAATTTGAGGACGATACCGACCACCCCACGAAATTCACTTATCTACAACATTAAACACATCCCTTATCACTTAGGTTCCGTTTTATTAAAATTGCTCAAGTTGAAATACATTTTCTTGTAATAGCCTTAAAAATAAGGACAATATTCTGAAGTAACTAAACAAGTCGATATAGAAAATGTACCCTTTTGTCGTACCTAATATATAGATTAGGGTGACAGGAAAGCGAATACTTTTATTTCAGTTTCTTTTCAAAAAATATTAGTTTATCATATTTTCTACAATAAAAATGACAAAGGTCCTGAAAATTTCAGGTAGATAATTTGATATTTAAAGGTAGTTCAAGTTGTTTTTTGAATTTCCGAGAAAAGGACGTTAGATCTTTTCGAACGACATCTGAACATGAATATTAAAGACCTTTTTATTTTTTCTTTTGATGTTGACTTACTAGAGAGTAGAAATAAGATAGGAGAGACGCAAAAATTTTAGAAACAATTGGAAATTTAAAAATCTTCAGTGAACTTTACATATCAAAATATTGACTTGAAACTTTCAGAATTTTATCATTTTTATTGTAGAAAATCGTGAAACGAGAAAAGAACATAAAAAAATTGATTTCGACGATTTTAGAAATTTTTAAAAAGTTAACATATTTTCATAGGAGACTCGATAAATAAATATTCCTTTTTTTTGGGTCACCCTAATATCAGATGTAAATGTATGAAAATAGGGTGATTTTCCGAAGTTATACGAGGGCGGTTCAATAAGTACCCGCGTTAGACATGAAGACACCTTTTTTTTTTAAATTTCTTTTTTTATTTTTCAACATAGTCCCTTTTCAGAAAGATACACTCCTCCCAACGACCCTGCCATTTTTTTTACCCCTCCAAAAAATAAGATTTGTCGAACTCTCCAAAATCCCCCCCTGTCTCGGCGATGACTTCCTCGTTTGAGCTAAATTTCTTTCTCGCTAGTCATTTCTTCATGGTAGGGAACAAGATGAAGTCGCAGGGAGTCAAATCGAGTGAGTACGGGGTGTGCGGCAGCAAATTCATAACGTAATTCATGCATTTTGGCGGCAACAACTCCTGATGAATGTGCCGGTGCGTTATCGTGTTGAAAACGCACCTTCTTTTTCGTCAAATGCGTCCGTGTCTCCTTCAATTTTTTGTCGAAGCGGTCCAATAACTCACTGTAGTATTGTCCAGTGATCGTTCTTCCTTTTCCTAAAAAATCCGTAAAATGATTTCCTCGGTAACAACGTTTGCCAGGCTTCCTGGTCGCTCCTATCAAAAACGGATCTTTGCCCACGTTTAAATTCGTTGAAGCAATATCTAACTGTGGTCGTAGATGGCGAAATGTCTCCATAAACAGTATCCAACTTTGTTTTCATCTCCTCGCATTTTTTCCCATCCAAAAACAAAAAGCGAGTTACCGAACGATACTGCTCTTTTTCCATCTTAGCGAAAATAACGAAGCACGTCTGAGTGGAATGGCTGCCAAATACAAACTAACCTATCAATCAGTCTGAAATTCGTTTTGACGTGATTTGATAGATGGCAGCACACGATGAAAACACCAATTTCCCTCAGGAACGTCCTCTGTCTTCAAACACGGGTACTTATTGAACCGCCCTCGTAGATATTGTTTTTGGTGCTTTGAGCGATAATTTTTAGCAGATAACAAAAATTGGTGGTTATTTTATTGAAATTCCTATATTTCAGCAAACGAATTATCCTTTCCTAATAATTTATTTTTTTCTCAACTAGCGGCGTACTTTTCTACTGCGTATAAATTACCTAAGAACATGTATTTATCAAAAACGAATAACATCCTGTACAAACGAGTTAAAGAAAAACGATTTCACACTTCACATCACTATCGATAGAAAGTGCTTACGCCATTGCTCGTTTTTGCGTTATAATTAACCGATTCCCTTTTTTTCTCACGCTCGTGGATTTTGCTTCAGCGAACAGCGTTGATGGAGGAGGAATCGATTAAGCAGTTGTGCCGGAAAAAGAAACCGGCTTATTTTTGTCGGAATAGAGGTGTTGTTTATTCTTTTTTTTCCCAATTTACCGGAGGCGAATAAAAAGATGGCAATATTTGCAGAAGTTATTGGTTCTATTCCGGTACAAAAAGTCCGGAACGGCGCGGCGCTGAAACAATTACGCGTGCGAAGCCGTGGAACTAATAGGTTTATTTTGCTCGGACGCAAAAAAGGGGCGGCCGAAAAGGGCCGTGAGCCGTCACTTCTCTTGTAACACACTTATTTCCGCGCCGTAATTTACACCGCGCATCCTCCATTCTCGCTTTTTTGTTCACGCATTCGAAAATATTTACCGTGCCTTAATGTACTAGGTACACTCCACTGCCGACTCCCTATTTATCAGGCTTACGATTAATACAACGGACAAATTTTCGTTGAAACCCTTGCCGTTTAGTTTTAGCAACCTTTACGAATAAAAACGTTTTATTGTTTTGTGATTAATATTTCGATTAAAGAACATGCCAGAAATATACTCGTAGCGAGAAGACAGTTATCTCTCGATAATTAGTATCAATACCATCATCAGTAGTACTGATTCAGTGTCCTCTTACGACAGCGTTATTAAATGTGCCACCGTATCGATTGTCACCTGCGGCATTCGGCCAGAACATCCACATAGATACGTATGGTGGGTGGTCCTAGAGCACTTAGACATATAAAAATATACAAATTCTTGAAGAAATACCAAAAACTCCAAATACACACGATATTATTGTAGGTATGAAAAATAGGGTTGACT